AGACAAGATGGCGGCTGCCTGTAGTGGCGACCCGCGACCATGGAGATATAAACAGTTTTTTAAAGGTAAAAATAATAAAACAAGGTCTTTGTCTGCAATGATTAGACATGTTTTTTATTATTGTCATTATTGATTATCTCAATTTCGGCTAAAAGAATTGACAAAATCCTACACACTGTGCCTTTAAGATGGCCTCTAATAACTTTGTAATCCTTAATACAGACTGCATGATGAGGGTAAAATCTACAACTAAAAATTTAGCAGTGAGGAAAACTCTAACAGGAAAAGACGTTAGAATTCAAATTAAAGGCAAYATGCATGAATTTTTAATAGCTTCCCTGCAACAGCAAACACAATACCACTTTCATATTCTTACAGTCCCCATCTGTTTAACATCCTAATTCCTGACATTCTTGCTAACCACAGTTTGACCACTTGCCACTTGAGGGATCCTCATAGATTTGTCCTCAGCTTCACCCAAAGTGTGTTCTCCCTCACAAAAAGCAGGAGGAGGAAACAAATCTGACAAGAAACTTTGAAGTTAAATGTTTAAATAATGTGTGTTGATTCGTCATGCAGAGAGCACTCTGAGTCATGAATGGAAGTTATGTTTCTTTGGAAGACAGACCTGTTTTTATGCCCCTACAGGAGCGTCTCCTGTATTCTGTCTCACAACCTGGTTTGTGTGCAGAAGTTTTAGCACGTTAGTACAGCTGTGGTAAAACCAAACATTCACCAGGCTTCCAAGTTCCCCGTCACATTTTAGAAGGTTCGTTTCACACAAATGCTTTGATAGGGAGAACAGTAGGCAAACAAAAATGAAGAAGAGAGAGGAAAGCAGCAGTGAGCCTCATCCCATCACAGTGGGAGTTTAACACCCGTCTGATACACAGGGCACTACGGGACAGCTTCCTCCCCCAGCAGCTCCGGCCCATACTCAACCTTTCTTACATCAAAACATCATAGATCAGAAGATCGTTTTCAAAAACATGAAACGCAAAACCGAGAACACAGTGAAAGACCCGCAAACCAACTCTCTCCCSTTTCAAACAGGTGCCTTGAAGGTGCTTTTGCCACACCTCTTTGGAGATCTGGCATTCTTAGGGGCTCGACACACGGGCAGCGACAAACTACATCGATTRACGGCTGTCATCGCAGCCAGGGTGAAACCCAACACGCGGGACGCGATAGCGATCGCAGCGTTGCGAATCGCGCTCTCAGGTCGCTTGTCTTCACAAAATTTGATTGGTTCTTGACTCTGAAGGCGGGTGTGCATTACGGACGTGTAAACTAAACAAATCTTAGAAAAGCAAACACACATCAAGATACAGTTTTATGAGGAAAAACTTACCATAAACTTCACCCTGGTGCCAACAAATTCCCACAAAGCTTTTTAGTAATCACTTGGTGAAAGTGTTGGCTAACGGCAGTGTGTAGCATACTCTCCTCTCATTGGTCAGTCAATGAAACCCTCGCTGATTGGTTGTACGCTAAGCGACAGCGACAAAAGTTGAACATTTTTCAACTTTCATATGTCGCGTCGCAAGCTCGCGTGTGCACGTCTACGTGTACGAGCGCGAAATTTCACATGCACTATTTTCGCCGGTCGCTTAGCTGGAGGAGGGCAAGAGATTGTCGCCTCACCACACAGGCTCCATAGGAAATGAATGGAGAGCGAGCGACGTCGCCTCCCGTGTTTCGAGCCCTTCAGACCCCATCAGAGGATCACAGGTCAGACTCTGGCAGCTATCCCTCAAAAAAACTGCGCCCGAGTATCACTTCTACGTCCCGATTGCGCTGCCACCTGGTGCACAAAGAGAATTTCCCTTTACAGGAATCTTCCTTGGAAATGAGTCACTGCATGTTTCTGTGTCCATCCGAACGTTTGGGGTCCCAGGCCTGACCCAGTTTTTCACAATACGTACCAGTGTTTCCATCCAATTCTAATTCAAATTTTGAGCAAATTTTTAAAATTTCGCAAAAAGGAAAAAAAACGAAGAAATGCGAATCAGACGTTTCCATCAACTGGCTTGAAGCGAATGAGTTACGTCAGATGTGTGTAGTAAACAGGAAGTAAAGTCGCATCTCAGGAAAATGGAGAGAACTTATCAGGATATCAGTTATCAGGTTCCTACTATCGGGACAGTTGTAATTATTCTGTCATCAACTAGTTTTGGCGATTTTACATGCGGTTGGGAGACGTAGAGAAAGAAATGCAATTCTTTTATGGGAGTAACTGCGAATACGCCGACAGCGGGATGCGGTTCCACCTGCAGTCTCTCTGATACCGGTACCGATTTCAGACAGACAGCGGGAACAGTTGGTCAACATGTGAGGTAAATGTTCGCTACRTCAGAACTTATTCGACAAATGTGYTTCCATCTCCTTTTGCGCATCAACTCTTTTWCGAAAAAAMCCMAAAAYCMMC